TAACTAACTAACTAACTAACTAACTAACACTAAATTATAATTCCTGTTAGATGTAGACATCATTGTCCTCCCCAGTAATGGACCCTACTGGCCTGTGGGGTAATTCAAAACAGAATCCTTTTATATTTTCACATGTTTTCCTAAGCATTTTCTTATAATGGAGTTGAAACTAATAATTTTGGTGTGTGCTTTCAAATCTATTTTACAGCACTGTGTAAAATATTTTGCTGTTACATTTTAATCAGCCACAGCAGCACTGAAATACTGCTGTAGCTGCCAAAACTAGCCTAGCCTAGCCTAGCCTAGCCTAGCCTAGCCTAGCCTAGCCTAGCTCTAGCTATTTTACAGCACTGCGTAATTCGTTATTTTGGAAGTGAAAACAAACACATACAAAAAATATTATGCAGACATAAATAGAAGAATATAAAGTAGATTTAAATTTTATAAAATTATAAACAGATTCCAAAAAAAAAAAGTCCATAAAATATATTTTAAACCAACAATAACATATAATGCTGAAACTTGGACACTTATAAAGAGAAACAAAATGAAATTTCATGCAATGGATACAAAAATTTGTTGTAGTAGTTAGGGTGAACCGAGAAGTGATAGAAATTAAATGTATAAAGAGGAAACTGGATCCCAGAATTTGCAAATCTGGGTTTGAAGAACACTAACTATAATAGTTTGATCATATAAAAAGAATGAATAGAACCAGGATACCAAGAGGGTCATTACCAGGGCCTGGATTTTGATGACCTGAAAATATTAAAAAAATGAACGAAAAAATCCAGAAAAACGACCTAAAGGAGAAAAGAAAGAACACTTCGCTTCAATGTTATTCACATTTCAGAAAACATATGAAGAAAAATTCCCTGAAATGTCCAAAAATGTCAAGAAATACCCTTAAAAGCCCAAAAAATTACCTATAAAATTTACATTTCTGTAACCAGCAGCTCATATCCAAGATTTATATATTTAAGAGCATCCCATAGGATACAAGGAAAAAGAGATGACATGTCATCAAAATCTGGGCCCTGGTCATTACAATTGTATTTAAAGGAAAATGGCCTATGTCATGATCCAGAACAAGATGTTTCAGGTGGGTAAAAAAAAAAGAGGCTGGCACAAAATCGAAAAGGAAAGATTATGGGGAGAAAGGGAAGGGATGTTAGGAGTTTGTCCACTGACCAGTACAAAGAGGAAATAACGCTAGACCAGTGAGATGATGGACTGTACACAACTCCAGGGTTTGAAAATTATAGAGGTACTTTTTGCTCTTCCTCTATCGCAGAAACATAACCTCACCTGAGCTAGAGTTCTCTTGAGTGGTTCAGCCAAAACACGTGCCAAATTAATCATCATGGCGCAAGGCACTGCCGAATCAGTTGCACCAACAAAATTGTTCTCCCTGTAGTATTTAGAGTCATAATGACATGCCAGAACAAGATATCGTCTTGCATTCGGGTTTAAAGTTGCCACAACATTTTCAAACTGCAGACGTCCAAATATAGGCGTATTTTCTTCAAATGGATCTGATTCAACTCTCCAGTCAAGTTCTTGCATTGTTTTGATGATAAACTAATTTGACAGAAATATTTCTCTGACATATTATATACAACAAACAGCTGACGTTACATTAAATAATTACAAGTGTGTCCCATTGTTCTAATAAGTTACATAAATCTTTCAGTAGAATAACTCAGAAAATACAATATAAAAATCAGATAAAATTGAAGGCAGTCTGTAGTTTTAATGTAAAATAATGCATCATTTGCACTGTTTTTTGTACATGACTGAAGACACTGTTAATTATTCAACAGCTGAGTCTTACAACAGAACGTGAACAGTGAATCTAGACTTACAGCAATGACCATAATTAGCAATGGTCAAGGTAATGGGGACACATTTTTACTTATTCAGAATTCAACTTCAAAAATCTGCTTTTCCATACTAAAATTATGTTACATTTTGGAACGTTATAATAAAAGGTAAAAACGTAAAGCTATCCCTTAACAGGCCGTGAAGGCCCATAGGGTTGTGAGACGTCGAGGCTCCCACATTTTCTAGACAATCAGCTCATAGATGGAGGTAAGGTTGTCACCCTTATGCGCCAGTCGCCCTTTACCCCCAGGAAGATTCCTGGTACTCATTTCTTTTAGAGGCTGAGTCAACTCCAGGCCCATGGTGTGGCTGGAAGGATTAGATAAATTAAAAAAAAAATACGCCTCATAGGGACTCGAACCCGTGACCTTCCGACTTATAGTATAGTTCAGAATATTATAATAGTCATAACTTAATATTTACTTTTTCCACAATATAGCATTATTTTATTGTGTGGAAGATGAATGCAAAACCCACCCCTTTTCTAAAGAATGTCTCTGAACAACATTCAATAAGAAATTACCTGTTTTACAAATTCATGATTTGCAGTACCAACAACTCTTGGTATTAATATGGTATCCAGCACATATTCAAAGTGGTTGACGTTTGAAAGGCCTGCTACTTTAACTATCTGCTCATCACTAAGCAGATTTGGGGCATGAGAATTCTACGGCAAGAAAATAAAATCAGTACATACAGTCTCACTTCATCACTCACGTAATTTGATATTCATTCTCAATCTACTGATGTCACAAAGTTATGATCTTAGACATACATGAATATATTTCCAAACCTCTCGTACATACCTTTTCATTTGCTAACCTTGTGGCTACAGAAGCCTCTTCCTCCTTTATGCCACTAAGTATCGTTAGTAGTAACAAAACAGCTGATTTAAACATCATTTTTATATCAACAGCACAAACTGTACATAAACTGAACTGTAATTACTACTGCATTAAAACACAATGTTTCACATAAAGAAATATGCAAAAGGGAATAAATACTTAGAAACGGTTGTCAGCATTTCGGGAAGACTTCTATAACCCGCCCACGACCTCGCGAGTTCGATTTTGAAGATAACTGTTCCAACATTACCTACAAGATGTCAACGTCTGTTCTTTTATCGCGAACTACATGACGTACATGACCTTCGTTGGCAGCTGGCAGCCCCAACCAATTGATATGGCAGAAATGGAAACATGTGCAATCACAATCTCCGCAGATCACTGCTGCCATCTATTTTTCCCTACAAAACTGATCCCTCCTTACCGATATTGTCGAATGTTATGTACTCTTTTAGACTCCTTAGATATATTTAATTCGGATTATTAGTACCAGAATGAGAGTATGTAATTGTAAACAATATCTGAATTTACATGCCACTTCTTCAGCATTAATTATCAATGAGGAAATCCCGCTCTGAGTATGGGTATCGATGGGGATCGATGGGTGTGACCGGTGTGACCCATAGAACCCATAGAACTGGCCGTGGTTGATGATCTTTCCCAACGTAGCGGGCATGGAGCCGATAGTTTCCGCGTTAAGCAGGATAAATCTAGGAGTCTGGTTTTGTTCCCGCATCGGAATAAATTTGTTCGATTCCAAATAGAAATTCAGATGATTCGATCGTTTTCGTTCGATTGTGTCCATCGCTATGATTATTGTTTAGATGCCATGTAGGTTAAATTGTATACGATGTTTTCCAGAACAAAACCGATAATGATTATTATTCTATTCATGCTGTGTGTATATTACCCAGCGAATTTAACTCGCGCTCCCGACAAATTCACTGACATTAGCAGTAATAAAAGTCCATATGAAATTAGGTTAGTGTTCCAAAGTAACCATGCCCTTATTAGAAAGTCATAATGCATATAAATGCAGTCAGTTGTACCAAAGTACTGAGCCGTTAGATGTGTTATACTAGCATATATTGGTATGTTTTCGTTTTTAGGTTGGTGAATTATAATATCAGCCATGGTTGCAGTCATCTTAACGGGCCAGAGGATCTGCATGTCGCTTCTCTAATTTTAGCGAGAGGTGGTAGTAAAGGCATCCGCCATAAAAATTTGGCGAAAATAAATGGAACTACATTGCTTAAACGCTCTCTGATGGTCATACATGACTTTGGCAGTAAGTGTACCATATTTGCATGGCTTTCAACATTCTGTGTTGAAATATTTCACCAGTGTGTTTATACTAAGGTGATTTATTACAGGATTTTCTTCCGTCTGGGTGTCAACTGACAGTACTGATATCGCAGAAGAAGCAAATACTGCAGGTGCCCAAGTACACTGGCGGTCATCAGAGAGTGCTACTGATTTTGCCCCGTCAATAGTGGGAGTTCAGGATTTTTGTTCCTTTCACCCAGGTTTAATATTACAAGCTGTATCTGTAGACAAAACAACATTTCTGTTGAATAATTTGTGTGGCTGCTGTGCATAAATAAGGAAAAATGAGATTTGTTTACTTTTCTTTGTTAACATAGATNGGGATAGATGAATGTATGCACTGGAAGACGGATAAAATAAATCATGAACATAGATTAATCAACAAGTCATTTCTAAAGGATTCTGATGATGTCATATAATACTCAGGATTATTCAGCTTCTGGACTTTGTCCATAATCTAGTATTCCAAAAAACAGAACACTGCAGAAACTACATCTCTTTCTGCCTGCAGGTGAAATTTGGAGGGAGGGGAGGGTCCAGTGGTTGAGGTTAGCTCTTCCTAATAGACCTAACAGAGTAGTTGCCTCCGATCCTTGGTTCATTTGAATACCAGATGATGGACAGAAATCCAAAAACCAGTAATCTGATGATAAATCAACAACTACCAAGTGTTTATCCTTGGCATGTTTCTTGTAATTTGCTTCAAAAACTTAAAGTAGATTTGATAAGTCTTAAAGGTTTGGTACTGTACTGACACATACCCTTTTAACCAAAATCAAATTTGGTGGAAAATGACAAGCATGTATGTTATTGTAGTCCAGTATAGTTTTATTCGAATTAGTCCCAGTATTTAATACCATACTTCACAGGAAGTATCGAATTATGTCCTGGGTCCTCGTATGCCACGAGTTTCCTTTTGCAGAGGTTGATGTGGTTGCACTCATACAATGCACGTCACCCTTCCTGAAAGCTGAATTCCTTGCAGAAGCTTATAGCAAGATGCAGGATGGCAAGTATGACTGTGTATTTTCAGTAACGCGGGAGTACAAACTGCGTTGGAAGAAACTGCCAGGTATGATTTCAGATAATTTATTTCAATTTTGTTTCTTCAAGAAAATAATAATCATACTTTTGATAGTTTGTAACTTGTTACAATTAATATGTTGTTGGACATTACCCATCATCACAAACTTTTAGATCTTATTTGTAACTTGTTGCTAGGATTTTTGTTCCCCACCCCCAAGAAATTGCAATTAAAAAAAATAGGTTGGAAGTTATGGGGTTTTAAATCCTCTCAGCAGTGACTGTGAAGCTAAATGTCTGGATTTTGACACTGTGTAGTCTGTTAGTTGTCATCAGCGTTCAAGTGAAACCATCTTCCCCCGTCTTCAGATGGCTGATGGTCCTTTGCATTTTAAAATTTGAAAGAACTGTATTACAGTATCTAAACATATCTTCATAAAATGTAAGAGCTGTTATGATAGTATAATCCCCCCCCCAATTTACACAATAACCCCAGATTTTGAAGTCCAGCAGACAGTATTGTTTATTTTTACCAGCTCCTGTTCTAAGTTTCTGAAGAGATAAAACTGACACAGCCGCATACAAGGAATGAATGCCCATTGCCCATTCATGCACTGAACACTGTCTAGTAAGGGTTTCCTGAATTTTTCATTGTATTCTGGGGCACTGTCCTGTATGTTATACTGCAGTAAAAAGTTTAATTTAAAAAGTATTTTTCTTAATTAGCATCACTGGGGGTGGAGTCCAGCTGGGTCCACTCAGCACATTGGCCACTGATTTGCCTATTGTACCTATGGAGCAATTGGTGGAATGAATGTATGAGGGGTAGGCCTTCTTGGCCCCTGCACCGTGACCTACAGTGATCTGTTGTGCTTTTGGTGGAATGAAGATTGGCAGGGGAAACCGAAGTACTCGGAGAAAATCTGCCCCGGTGCCACTTTGTCCACCACAAATCCCACTTGACCAGACACGGGTTCGAACCCATTCCACCGCGGTGAGAAGTAAGTGACTAACCGCTTGAGGTATGCCGCAACCATTTAAAATAATTAGTTGGGCATTAATGATGTAAATGGTGAACATACAATCATGTTTTTTTGTGGAGGGACATTTCTTGTTGTTTACATTTAAATTTTACTTTCAGATGGTGACGTTAAACCAATAAATTTTGACCCTAAGAAACGTCCCAGACGTCAAGACTGGGATGGGGAATTGGTAGAAAATGGCATGTTTTATTTTGCAACAGCAAATCTAATCACCTATGGCCTCCTTCAAGGTGGAAGGTAAAAGAAATATTTATAAATTTTTATATTTAATTCTGCTCATATCACTTCTGTTCTGGCTTGCTGCGTAACACTACCGAGAATATTTTGGTCTTGTGTTAATATTTCATGAAGTGTAACGGATCATTATTTAGGGATCTCAGCCACAGTGGTATAGTACCACTTTGAAATCAGACGCTGAGTATTGTATATACTTAAGATGAAGGTTATTCATAGTCTCCTGTTGTCTTTTAATGCCTAAACTATTACAAAAATAAATATATTTTTATACATTGTTATTTGGATATCTTTGAAGTTAGCTCTTGACACAAAACCAGTTAATAGAATTACAGCATCAGTATTTAAATTCTATTTGGAATAAGGAAGAATTGCCTGCTCAGATGAATGATTCTATTATTGTAACAGTTCACAGTAAGGATGATTGTAGTAATTATTGGGCGATATCACTGCTATCAACTTCATACAAAATTTTATCCAGTATTCTTCTCCCAAGGTTAAATCCATACATAGATGAAATTATTGGGGATCATCAGTGTGGGCTTCAACATAACAGATCGACTACTGATCAGATCTTTTGCATTTGTCAGATACTGGAGAAAGAATGGGAGTACAATGAGATAGTACATCAGCTATTTGTAGACTTCAAGAAATCCTATGATTCAGTTAGGAGGGAAGTATTGCACAATATTCTGATAGAGTTTGGGGTACCCATGAAACTAGTCAGGCTGATTAAAATGTGTTTAAATGAAATGTATAGTAAAGTCCTTTCCCCCCCCCCTGGCACTACAGCCCCAGCGGGCCTAGGCCTACCTCCATGAACTCCGTTCACTTCGGTTTTTCTAGATCTTACACATATGTTAGGACCCCTTGGGCGAGTGATCAGCTCGTCGCAAGGCCTGTACCTGTAGACAGACACAGAAAAACGCACACAAACATCCATGCCCTGAGTGGGATTCGAACTCACGATCCCGGCTTCCGAGCGAGCGAAGACAGTGCATGCCTTAGACCGCTCAACTACCGTGACTGGCTGAAGTCCATATAGGTCTCACAAATTTCCTATCCAGAATGGTCTAAACAAGGAGATGCTTCATCGTTACAGCCATTATGTCACAATAATTTTTACAGGGACCCTTTAAATTAATATAAATTTCTGTTTTAGATGTGGAACTGTGGATATACCCAAGGAGTACAGCAATGAAATCGACAGTCCATTTGATTTACAAGCAGCTGAAGCGCAACTTCATGCGCATTCGTTCTTGTGAGGTGTCAAAACATGGCGACAGATTTGCATTTGGTGGGTGGACTAGGATATATATTTGTGCATATATTGTAGTATTTGTGATCATTTTTTCAATGCAGAAACTTGTTTGTAAATAGGATTTTAGGGTTAGGCAAACGATTACGTTAGGGGCTGTAAGAGTTTGAATTGTGATAAATAATATGTTTATGCTCTCTATTTCAGGGTCAGTACCTCCGTATTATCGTGAAGTTTTTAATATTATTTCACCATCTTCCAGTAATGTCAGTAAGGAACTGTTCACAAAGTTGCTTGTCAAATCAGGACTCCCATCGCAGACATTAAGTTTGGTAAGTCTTGAGGAAGTATTTTAAGCGAAATCAGAGATACCCCAGATCTGAGGGGGTGAACTCGGGTGTACCACTGTTATCTCGTTTTGGTATTGAATACTCCTACCTCTTTCCTGTCATCTCTGATGGTTTGTAAATAGTAGCCCTTATATTTAGGGTCCTTTTTGCAATGTTGGGCAGTTGTCAAAGTTGAAATATTTGTTATCGGTGTAATAATTTTACAACTGTCGCTCAACTACTGAGGCTGAGAACTTGTGTCCTGCTACTCTGACCGGATTGCCATTTTGTATGTGACTTCAGAATACTGAGTATGTTGAAAATGAAGATTTATTGAGGCCACAGCCTTATCATGAGCTTGTGCCTTCTTCCTTTAGCTTAGCTGACCTGCTTTTCTGTAGGGTACTCAACTCACATGCAAATAAGGACAGATAGGAAAAAGCATATGCCATAAATAAGGCCATGGTCCTTAGGGGACCATAGAACGAAGGGGTATGTAAGTAAATAAGTAAATGACATCGCCCGTTGGTCAGTTTTTTGGTGGGCCTACAGAAGAGGTGCCATCTCTGTGGGCTGCAGTGTGAGTCGGTAAAGGCCTCCATGCACGTACATTCAGTTGGTGCCTCAAAGCACGGCCGTAACAGTATATACTGCCTGCTTGAACATTATAAAGCACTGCATTTTGCCCAGTAAGTGTATAATTCTCGTAGTAAACAGCAAGCAGTTCTTTCCCTAAACAGCATTGACTGGTTGGTCTTCATAATGGAGACGTGTGAGGCTGGAACTGAATTTGTAATATTATTTAGATGAAGTTCGTGCTTCAGATGTGAAAGTTTAGGTGTGATTGTGTTGGGTTATTATAGAGCTTCCACGACCAGATTTGGGTGACCTGTCAGACCTTTCACCAGCAGTGACAACAAGTCTGACACAGATTGGTCTACGTTATCCTGACATCTGCCAGATGGATACTATAGAAGTTGACTTGGTACCTGAAAAGAAAGGGCTGTTCCTAAAACATGTAGAATATCAGGTCTGCAGCAAGGTAAGAACAGTTGGGCTGTTATCATTACAAATTTCTAGTGCCCATTGTGTGGGCTGCTCATCAGGTTTTAATCATATTGTGCCAGCTCTCAGCAAGTGTACGCCGGGCATACCCACCAGCCCAATCAGTTTTAGCAATACGTGGCTGTTTTTGGAGTTGCAGGATTTTCGATGCTTGAATAGACAACCACAGATGAAACTTCTGTAACAAATGCATATTGTTGCATTGGAGCTGCCGTGGTCCGCGCTGATCGGCTGATGCTTGATTCCGTGTGGGTTTCTCCCCCACAGTATTCCTCTATAAAGAAATGAATAGCAAATTGTCTGCATACGGTCGTAGAATAGACGCTCGTTTATGATCTACTGTGTAATCTGTTTTCATGTTTCATGTTAACTTTGGATACTTGAAATGATGTACTGAAACTCTGCAACGACTATGACAGATCTCACACGTGCAGTAGTACTGAGGCCCATATACTGTGTATATATATCTATATATACATGGAAATGAGTAAAGGAAATATTATTCTGAAGGTAAAGATAAGATAAAGTTTTCCATGTGCTTAGTTAAGCACCACTCCATAAAGACATATGTTGGGACTAGAGGTATAGCTCCACCATTTTTTATCTCGACATTAGATGGAGTTGAGTGCTCCTCGTCATGTTCCTGCCAGAGAAGAAGCCTCCAGTACCCATTGGACAGGAGGTTGGGTGGGCTCAAGAACTGGTCTGGACGCTGTGGAGAAGATGAAAATCTTGAGAACTCGGCGACGCTGTCTTTGTTACAACAATAGGTCACAGTTCCTTGGGGGTGGGGTGTGGGGGTCCGAAACCCATGCGTATCGAAGCCATGATATAGCTGCTATTTATGGAACGTCTCCACAATGTCGGTCATGTCGCCTGCCTGCCCTCTGTATGTCCACCGTCCCTCTCTACAGATTTTTCCCCTAAGAATTCTGAGATACTGGATCTTCACTGCAGAACCGGTGTCTGAAAAGTCGTATTTTATGTTGAAGTCTCCTATCATAGGAAGAGTTCATTGTTGTTTCTTCTTTCAATATCATCTTCATGGAAATCATTAAAAGAGTTACCACACAGATATACCATAAAGTTACATAAAATGTTACAGACTTACCGAAGATAAAGTGACCTCTAGGCTGTATGATATGACCTTCTAATGCTCTCTGACTTGCAGGAATTCACTGTGGCCTAAATTCTACAAACCTAGCAGGTTAGCATAGCAAGAACAGTTAGATTTGTGTTTGGGAGGCGTTTCATTCAAATCTAGGCCGTAAACCCAGCCGGGATATTGCCTCTTTTAGGCCACGACCGTTTCCATTCAACTCATTCCAATTCATCCATCTGAGCGCCCTATATAGTCTACACACTGACAGCAATGGAAGCAAAACCACAAGAATTACACCGTTCAACGCTAATTTCCCCCTTAATGTAAAGTTAGGTGATTTAAATAGGTATATTTATACATGTACGCTCACGTTATGGCAGTGTTTAGCCATGAAGGCGTATGGGGGAGTGGATGTTCGATCCCTGTATACTTCACATCAGTTGGAGGTGAGTGATCAGTTTCACGCCCCGGCCGCTTTACTCCCGGGAAAGAGCCCGCACTACCCATTGGGTAGGAGGCTGGGTGGCCCCCATAGCCGGTCTGCACGACGTGGAGAAGAGAAAAACTTTACCCCTACCGGGACTCGAACTCTGACCCTTCGGCCGTCCACCCCCTAACCAGTCGCTATACAGACAAAATATTAATATTGATAAAAGTATTTCAAAGTTATTCTTTTGACCTAAATAACAGGGAGATCGGTAAAAACAATCCATAACGCCTTCAATATATAAGCAAATGCCCTGGCTGCATCGCCTCCAGAGAATATCCTAGGGGCCTCCGTGCCAGTGTTGAGCAGTTTCCGCGAACGTATCGCAACTGTTTGCTCCATGGACATGTCTCAGTAATTTCATTACACAACGGTGAACCTTTTATACTATTAAAATTCGGAAAAATTTCAAACTAATGGGTCAGTTCGTAACGTTAAAAAATGTTTGTTCTGTGCGTTTTATGAGGAGCTGTCGTCATGTCACGCCATTCCGAACGTTTTCCGAAAAATGCAGGCCTCTACTTCGAAACCAATTGCCAATTTCGCTGTAACACGATCGAACATTCCAACCGCTTCTCTGAAATGCGTATTCAATAATTTGAATGTATAACTGAAATTCTTGTGAAGAATGGACGAACTTCTAGGGATGATCATTGTTGAAACATCAAAGAGAATTAATTTCACATTAAGAAATAATTCATACGAGTCACATCCCGGAAATTGGTAATTTTTTTTTAATTATGTCACTAAAATCTGAAATAACCGATTTTCTGAAGTAGAAGGCAGCATTAATTTCTGTTGTATTTTAAAAATATTACATACTCCAGTACTGCTGTTAGAATTTGATTTTGTGCCATTAAATTCAAATTTATAATTTACTTAAATATCTGCATCCTTCTGGGGGCACGCGGTAGCGCAGTTGGGTGACACACTATGCTACAAGCCGGAAGGTCGCGGATTCAAGTTCTAATGAGGTCACTGGATTTTTCAGTTGACCTAATCCTTCCAGCCGCACTATGGCCCTGGGTCGACCTAACAGAAATGAGTACCAGGAATCTCCCTGGGGGTAAAGGGCGGCCGTTGCGTAAGGCTGACAACCTCACCTTCATGTGTGAGCCGATAGTCTAGAGAAAATGTGGGAACCTCAACATCTCACAACCCTATGGGCCTCCACGGCCTGTTACAGGGATAGCTTTACCTTTCTTTATCTGCATCGTTCTGTGGGTCTGCTTCGCCGCTGGAAGCCTCAAGTACATCCAAATAATATCAAAGAATTCAGTTCCCACGTCACAGAAAACATTTGATCTGAATTCGATTTTTGGAAGATCGTTATCTCCACAGCATCCAGACTGACTTTGGGGCCCACTGAGCCTTCTCAGTGGGTACAGTTGGGCTTTCCTTGGGGAATAGGCGGCAGGGATATGAAGCTGACTATCTATCTCTAATGCCGAGCTAAGAATACCTGGAGCTATACCTCCATTCCCACATACTCGTGCGTCTTTATACTTAATTAAACACAGAGACAACTTCTACATTTGCTTATTTTGAGAGTCAGAGGAAGATCACAAAGACGCCGTGGCCATAATGAGGGCTGATGTTGAAACAAGTGATGCAGGTACACAGACCCCTGAAATTTAAGGAGCTGAATATTTGAAATCGACAAGGCGTTCCACAAGAAGGAATCGCCTTATTTCCTTTGATATGACATGGACCGAGGGAAAAGGCGTCCAAAATTCTTCTTCTGTTGCGTGTATATTTGTTGCTTGGGAACCGTTGCCTAGCAACGATAGGGGATACATACAGACACAGATCAAGGTGATCTCATAAGCCTACGTTTATTTTTTTCTTCCAAGTGAGGAAAGTAGCCTAAGAAACATTTGGACTTGCCTGCTCGGACAGAATAATGTAAATGCTGTTACCTAGCAATGGCAGTAGCGTGTTTACTACTGTTGCCTATCAGTTACTGTCAATTCAATTGTTGCGTGTATATTCGTTGCCGCTGTAACATTTTACCGAGCCGTTGCCTAGCAACAAGATGGGGATACACATAGAGACACAGACTGATCGGAGGGATTTATGAGTATGATGTACGTCGTTCAGATAGGCTCAGGTGCCACGATTCTTGACCCTACCGGGACTCAAACTCCGACCCCTCCGTTGTCCAGCCCCTAGGTAGTCGCTATACCGACTGAGCTATCCCGACTTCACTCGTATGTATATATGTATGTAAGCGTCACAAAAGCCGTGAGTATCACGTTGTTGGCTTTTTTATTTAAGATTAAAAGTCACCTCGAGAAACTTTTTGAACACGCGATAGTAGTTTGTGTCGCTCGTAGAAACGATTCCGAGAAACATAGGCGACAAATTATTGTACAGCATACGTAACTACAGAACAGGTACAGGGGTGTACAGATACCAACACTTCGAAATAAATTGTGTTTTTTTTTTAGAGCTTCCAAACGAAAAGCTGCTGCCTGCGTGATATCTGCGGTAACAACTGCAGAGCCGATGGGAGACGATAATTGAGTTTTTCACTGAAATGTTGTGTCACGTTAAAATTTTCAAATTCTGGCTAAAACTGGACAACAGTAACAACGCTTCCAACCAAGACGTATACATGCTTCTTACATCTCGGCAGATATTTTTATCAGAGCGAAATGATGTCGAACAAAAGCTGCAAAAACATGCGCAACACATGTCCAGTATGCCTTCTGCATAAGTCTTATTGTATCGGAGATCAGTAAACAAAATGGCCCTTAAAATGTACTGGCAATAATAGAGCGAATGCGCCACAGTTGTTGCGATATGTGTACACTACCTAACTTGTTTTAAATATGCAGTGTCGCTATGAGATTCCAACCAGCTTTAAATGAAATACGAGAAAGCATTCATTACACTATTTCATTTGGTGGAGGGGTAAAAGGGTAAAGTCGTTCGCGCGCTTAATTAATGAAGCGCGATCCCATGAAGACATATGGGATGTGTGGAGGTATAGCTCCAGCATTCGTTACCTCGGTCCTAGATGGAGGTGAGTGGTAAGCTTCACGCCCCGGCCGCTTTAGAACCAATGGTACACATTACATAGGAGGCTGAGTACGTATCTTATGATGGACAGGAAGTGTAGCGCGCATAATAGGACGTAGGCGGGAGAGGGAGTATTAGCGCTTTAATTATTCTGAAAATAAAATGTAGTTAACTTTTCTGATGATGACATAATGATCTCGTCACGAACTGATGATGACATATAGGGCTGTTCTTGAGCGATAAACCGGAATCGATTTGGTAGCGATCATGGCCTCATCCAGACACTATTCCGGCGTTTGCCTGGAGGAGGGGCTGAGTGAAACCACGAAAAACAAAATAGCAGGTGTCCCGGCCTGTTTTCGAACAAAATACAACCCGTACAGGAGGAGTTGCCGATGCGCCAGTGCCCCCCCCCCCGGTGTGAAGCCGAGGACTGGTTTTGCAGAAAAGTCACATTTTATCTCCACGGCCTCTCACCTTAAGACCCGACCTTTAACTCAGTTAACATAAACCGAAGGCTCGCTTCTTCTCGGAATCTCTTATCTTATAGGCGCAACGGAACGATAATGAAGCCCACAATAATCCCGACACCACGGAAGCGAAAAAATGTGACAGGAGAACTTAACAAGCAGACATTTCCCAGAAACATTTTAAAACTCTGTAGTGGTCATATAAAATATGGCCTTGAACATGGGTGCCA